CCTCCTGCCTCCTCCTGCCTCCTCCTGCCTCCTCCTGCCTCCTCCTGCCTCTTGCCGGCATTCCGCATTCGCATTCAAAGACCTCTGCATAGAGTGCCTCCCTAAAACAAGCTCTGTTCGGCATAGAGATAGGACCAGTTTCCCTCTGACCCAGGAGCAAGAGGCAGAGCTGCACCACATCCACAAGAATTAAACAGATATCATCCATTTGCACATCATGTCAGAAGCCCAAACTTTGCTGCCCAGGGGAAGCCTCTGCAAACCCAAGGGCTCTTTATGCAAGAGTGAACACACTGTACCACAGATGACACCAGCTCCAGAGACCTCTCTCCTCATTCCTTGTGGGCCTTTACTTTGCTATTAGCAGCCTTTAGTCAAAACTACAGGCACAGAGCACATGACAGCTCCAAGAAACACAACAGGAGCCCTGATCTTAAAGGTCAGAAGTGATCTAACCCATGAAGCCCAGAACATCTAAAGCCCTTGTGGGGTTGTGGACTTTATTCCCTGCATTTATTGTGCAGACCAGATGTGTCATGTTTTCTCTGATTGGTCTGTGGCAGCATCCCTAGTGTCAGATGTACAGAGGCCATGCAAGGTAGGGATGACAAAGCCTCCCAAGAACTTTTTGCTACAGGTTTATAGAAATAGCACCCTTTTGGTGAAGCAGGACTGCCCCCCAGCTCCTCTGTCACCTTGGGGGAGACTCTGATATTCTGTAGATCCTGTACTCCATCTTGTGGTTCTGTTTGACACTCAGATCTCCGCTTGGAGGCAGATGTGGCTACTGTTTGACATGGCAGGAAGCAGAATGCAAACAAGCCACTGGCTCACTTTCCCTCAGCTGGCAGGTTTCCAAACCATATCCCTGTTTAGACCTCTGTACCACACCACCTCAAGGGAAGTAGAATGTCAGAAGTTTGCAATTCTACCTCCCCTGTCTGTGCTGCTTCAGAGCCCACAGCACAGGCCATGGAGACCATCATGGAGACCACCATGGTCAGCAGTGTCGATTAGAGCTCCGCCATTCCTCATGCAACTTTCTTCCTCATGCCCTACTCTTCCCTTGCACCCAGCTTTTCACTCTTGCTTCTTTTGTGCAAGAATGGTTTGCAAGCCTGGTGGCACAGGCCTGGGATTCCAGTCACTCAGGAGGCTAAGGATGGAGGACCACAAGTCTCTTGCCTGTCTGGGCTACAGAGCAAGGTAAAGGAACACCCAGTGAAACTCTGTCTCAGAATAAAAGAAAACCAAGGGGCTAGGTTAGCTCAGTGCACAAAACTTTCCTAGGAAACATGAGACCTTAGGTTCAATCCCTTAGTGGTAGAGGTGAAGGGAAGGGAAGGGAAGGGAAGAAGAGGAAAGAAAAGGAAGAGGAGAGGAAGGGAGAAGGGAGAATAGAGGAGAGAGAGGAGGAAGGTAGGAAAGAAATAGAGAAAAGGATAACAGTTTTACACAGCACCTTTCGTGGGCCAGGCACCATGCTGGGTGTTAGGACCTAGCTGGACAAGCAAAGCCTGTCCCTGTCCCAGGGGAGTTTAGCTCTAAGAAGGCTGGTTGGTATAGGCAAGGCAGAGCTCAGCATATGCTGATATTTGTGGGAACGAAAGATGGCTAAGAGCACTGTAAGCATTGGTTCTAAGAATCTGGGGAAAAGGCTTCTCCATGAGAAAGTAGGAGAGGATTCTAGGATAACGTAGCATGACATAAACCATGCTGGGGGCAAGCATCCCCAGGCTAGGTTGTAATCCCCACTGTTCTGTTTGATAATCATCTCCGTGCTGTGATTCAAATCTATGTGTCATCTTTCTGCAAATTTATCAGTCTTTTTTCTTCCTTTCCTTTCCTCTTCCTTTCTGGGGCATTGCTAATCTGGCAGAGCCATTGCTTTTGAGGGAACTGCATCTGCTCTGCCAGGCTAGCCACGGACTCCTGAAGGATAGTGGACCCCAAAGGATGACTGGCTCCATTTGGATGAGAGGCACTGTGTGCAGGTCTAGGTGGCCTGTTGCCTCTTTCTCCACCTCCTGCCTCCTTTTTGAGGCTGAGTCCATGCTGGACTGTGAGTACTGCAGAGCAGGTCAGGCTGTGCCCAGCCCCACAGCTCATGCATGCGAGTGGACTCAAAAAATGTACATCCAACAAAAAATAAAACAAACAAGACAGAAGAAAACTACAGTAAGGAGCCAGAAACACAGTGTGATCCTAGAATAGACAGATAGCTGAAGAGAAAGGGTGGCAAAGAGAAGTTTCCCCACTCCTGCTCTGAGGCAAGATGAGGACAACTTTTTTTTTTTGAACTTTTTATTTTGAGGTAATTCTAGAATTGTAGAAAAGAGGCAGTTACCAGAATTAATATCCTAATCACAGTGGCACCAGGGACACTGATCTGTAATTTGACCACCTGTGTTTATTTTCTGTGACCCTGACAGTCTTAAGGGTTTCTACACTGTAGAGTGCCCCTTGGTTTGGATCTGGGTGGTCTTTCCTCTAGTTGGGCTGTGTTTGGGTTTGAGGAATGAGGTGCATGGTGGCAGCAACAACATGTCCTGTCCCCGGTGAAGCTGCTCTTGGTAACTTGGCTAACCTTGGGTCTGGCTTGTTATCTCCTATACAACTATTGTCTCTGCCCCTCATACTGGAGGCTCAGGTCCCTGTCAGGGTCAGGGGAATTAGTCCTCCCTCCTGCAGACATGGCAAGAGAATTCCCCACAGTTCCAGAACATTAGCAACACTGGTTTTTGTTTTGTTTTTTGTTTAGTGTTAGTTTGTTTTGTCAGTGAGGATGAAATCAACGACCGATTACAAAGTGAACGGAGAAGCTGACAAAGTTGTAAAACATTGCCTGCATGTATGTGTTCATGTGTTCATGTGTGTGCATATGTGTAGGTGTTTTGTTTGTTTTAGATCTATCACTGAAGTAGAGATCATGGAGTAGGTAAGACCAGCTGGCCAATCAGCCCAAGGATCCTCCTTCTCCACTTCCCCAGGACTGAGGTTTTTCGCCTGTGTGCTAGAGGGTCAAACTCATGTCTCTATGCTTTCAAGCCAAGCACTTCACTGACTGAACTATCTCCCTAGCCCAAGTCTAAGATACTTTTAAACATCCCTTCAAATGTGTTATCAACTATTCTTTCCTTGAGTTACCTTTACTGACAGAACCTATCTTGGCCAAAAAGGTTGTTATGAAATTAGTTCCATCACCCCACCCTCTGAATACCAGAAAAGCCAGACAATTTCATTTAAAAATAAAGTAGAGAAACCACCAGACACACTGACCTTGAGTCAGACTGTGCGTACATTAATGTCGGCCTCACTGGGCTCTGCACAGTGGCTCCAGCTACCTTCCTCTTTCTAGCAGGCTGGGGAACTTGCCTCTAGCCCTGTAGCTGCTCTGTATGTCCCCAGCCATCTTCTCCCACATCCCATGTTCTCTGGGGACCTTCACTGCCCTTCCCATCCTGGAGCCACAGATACATCATTGACCTTGGATGGGTGAGTTTTTATAAATCCAAGACCTCTCAGGAACAAACAGTGGTGTGCCTATTCATAGCGATAGCACAGAGCACACGAATTCTATGTCTAACAGCCAAAGCAATGTTCCTGCCCACTCACCCATCCCACAGGCCTCTGAGCACTGTTCACACTGTGTAGAGAAATGAGCTGCCCTGAGCCAGCTGAAAGACCTACCTTGCAGGGCTTCAGTAGCTTCTCAACATAGCTGTTCAGATCCCAGGGTGCATGTGGTCGAAGAACCTTCTAGTGGCAACCAGAAGCTCTGGACCCAGTTAAGAAAAACCAATCCCATACCCAGATGGATTTTTTCTCATCTCAGTTAGCTTCAGTGGCTTGTGGCTTCCTGCTAACAGCACACAGAGGTGTGTGTCCCCCTCGTTGTGATCAGACCTCCATCAACAGCCCCAAGAAGCAGCTCAATGTGAGCTCCACCCTCCAGTCAAGTCTTCTGGAGACTTCTGGCTCCTCAGCCCCAGAGGTGTTTCTGAGGAAATTCCGTGGGCACCTGACCTTCCACCATGCTGGTCACGATGATTGCCACCCCAAAGACTTCTTGTGGGTTTTAGTTCACCACATGGCTGGTGTTTTCCCTCAGTTGGTTTGTTAGGGTCAACACACCTCCAACTATCTCCAGGAAGTATTTTTTCAGAGGGTTCTGGTCTGGGCCACCTGTGGGAACTAGGGCGGGGTCCTCTCAGTCCGTTGGTTTTGCTTTGCTTTTAAATAATGCTAATATTACTGAGGTCACATGATGGTGTGAGCATTCAGTGGCAGAACAGATGTGACTGGAATGTACAAAATCGATGCTCAGTACGTTCAAATCCCTCCATGTTTGACAGTTTTGTAGCCAGCGTGTGACTCTGATCTCAGAGGTTCTTGAACCGATCACTTTGCCTGTCAGTAAAAACTCAGAGAAAAGACAGTGAGGTGACAGGGAAGGACTGTGGCACCATGGTTGGGTATCTCCTTTCCTGCATCAGTCAAGAGGCAAATGGTACCAGGAGGGTTGTTGAGAGGACCTGCTGGCCCAGAAGACATCACAGACCCCTGACCACCTCACCATCCAGGCACCTTAAGGGGCCGATGGGTTGACCCTTCCTTTTCTTTAATGTCTGGGAGCCTTGATAGAGTGCATCATCAGTTGGCCAGTTTCTACACCACGGCCCATGATCTACATCCATACGGAGCAGCCTTTCTGGGAGTTTAGAGCTAAGAGAGACTTCACCGCAAGTCCTTGTAGGAAAGAGCTACCAGAAGCTCTATGCAGTGGGGCATGGAGCTCTTGGTTCTATGAGCTGTTGCTTGGCCCCTAAGGTTTGATATGAACTTGTGAATGTTCCTATCATGGTATTTAGGATAGTGTAAACAGCTAACAACAAATAGGCACACATGTGTGGAAAACAAAGGACTGTCTGTCTCAGAAATTATTCCCCGGGTATCAGGTTTTTGCTGTTGTTGTTTCTGTTGTTGTTGATTTGTTTTGTTTTTGGCAAGGTTTCTCATTGGCTTTAAATTTGTTAAGCAGGATAAGATGGCCGGCTAGTCAGTCCCAGGAGTCCTCCTGTCTCTACCTTCTATAGGCTGGAATCATCCCATACCAGCGTTATTTTATTTTAATTATTTTATTTTATTTTATTTTATTTTATTTTATTTTATTTTATTTTATTTTATTTTATTTTATAGCAGGTTCTGAGGATCAGACTGTGGCACCATGGTTGGGTATATCCTTTCCTATATCAGGTTCCTTCTGCTTTCAATGAAAGCACTTTGCCAACTGGACTATCTTCCCAAACCTTGAACAGAGAATGTTTGGACTTGAACCTGTGCACTTGAACCTGAGGCTGGGAGAATACGAAGGGAACCAACTTCCTCCAACACTGTCAGAGTAGGGGGGATGAGAGAGTTTGCTGAGAGGGGAGAGATTCCAATTTGCTTATGGAAACTCACGCTTCTGTTTACCACAGATGTTGGAAACACACACGCACACGCACACGCACACGCACACGCACATGAGTGCGCACGCACGTGCACAGATGGATTCCAGCAACCACTCAGAAAAGAACAGAAATGATGTTGCTGTTGGCTTCAGATGTTTGAGCAGAAGTGAAAAATAATTTCAGCCATTTTCACCGTCACAAAGTCACAGGGCCCCTGAGGACAAGACCCAGGGGAGACATGCTGAGGGATGAATATCAGGTTAGACAGTACCCTTTATCAGACAGTTTATAAATTTGGGGAACCTCAACAGGTCTTGTTGGGACAGGACTAAGACCAGACCCTCGCTCTGACTCTCTGAGTTCTGTGCTCAGCCTGACTGCCTCCCTCAGTCATTTTCCCCCATTTATTTTTGTGCATCTGAGGTAACTTATGCAAATCTCAGGGCTCTCTTTCCATGACTCTACACCGACCTCCTGATAACAACTCATCTATAATTAAAATCAAGAGAAGTGAGCAATAGGATAGTCAAGTTGAAAAACATTCTGATAATCCAAGCCAAGATTCACCTCAAAGGTGGTGGCATGAGACATTAGCTAGTCACCTTTAACGGCAACAAGTATCATATCAGACAAAATTGTCCACAAAGCAAACACAAAGAACAACTTTCAGTTCGTGGGAAAATGCTCAATTATTAAGAACTTCTATTGTGCCAGGATGGCCACTAGTCTGTGCCCTATTATGCTGCCCAGCATGCAGGGTGCTATTTTTGAATAAGGAAAATCATAGGTTTGCTGGTACCTGTGGTAGGCTTGGTCCACAGGCCAGTGAAAACCAGCAACTGTACTAGGTAGAGGAAGCAGGTTTAGTCTTGAGGGTGGAGAAGTGAACCTGCAGTTTATGGGTTAAAGGTCATGTATCCGGTTGTAGACAAGAAGTTGGGAAAGCTACAACTGGCTTAAGGTTATAATTTTGATCCAGGGTGAAAAGAAACACAACCAGAACAGGAAGAACCTTCAGGCAAGGTAGAGCCAAGACACTAAAATCTCTTTATATACCCAGTGAATTGCTGACTATTGTTATGGGTGGGGGCAGATACAAGAGAGTACAGCCAAAAGTGAGCTCAAAGGGAGATGGGAGGGCTTGCTGTACAGCCGTTTGCTTCTCCAGCCACACCCAGCTTGGGCAACTGAGTGTGGAGGGCTTCTTGTTCTAGGTGTCTGAGCATGACCTTGTTCAAAGGATTATCTTGCAATGCAGAAAGAGACTAGACCCTTGGAGGATCCCAACTAAAATGTAAAGGGACTGGAGACATAGCTCAGGGGCTAAGAGTAAGTGGCTCTTGCAGAGAACTGGAGTTTGGTTTACAGCTCCATGTCTGGTGGCTCACAACTGCCCATAACTGCAGCTTCAGGAGAATCCGAGACCTCAGGCTTCCACAGGTACCTGAATACACACACACACACACACACACACATGCATACACACACACACACACAAATAAAAATGTAAAATAATAAACATAAGTCTTCAAAATTAAAGTAGATGCTGATGCTACATTATGCAGAGAAAATAGTGGCTATGCACCTGCAGGGGGGCTCGTTTTATAAACTAAGTCCAAAAAGGTTCCTAAAACCAACCACAGCAACTCTCCGGAGAATCAAGCAAAACCAGAGCATTGCATTGCAATGCCCAGTTTCATCAAAAGTTACAGACGTGAGAATAAAGCAAAACTAAAACAAACAACAACAACAAAGTGGCCTGAAAATAATGCAAAGCCTCAAGGAAGTCTAAGTGTTCAGAGCAGTTGCTATAGATATGTTCGTGGAATTAAAGGAAGATATTCTCAAAGATGTAAAGTGTTACATTTCATGTCTAAGAGTCAGCAGACAGGTACTCTCAACAGAGAGATGGAAATTATAATAAATAAACAATAAACAAACACACAGATGTAGCTGGGGATGTAGCTCAGTGGTTAAAGAATTTTCCTAGCATGCACAGGCCCTGGGTTTGATTTCCAGTACTATAAAAAATAATAAGCAATAAAGAGGATTTCTGTGAATTAACAAAACTGAAACTGGAAAGCCACAAGCCAGACCTGTGTCTGCAGTTGAAAGATGAGGGACTGGCGTAAAATCACTTTATATGGAAACAATGCAAGCCAATCTCATAGGGGTCAGAGGAAACAGCTCGATGGGTGGGCCTCGGGGAGCAGGGAGTGGGTGGAAGGTTAGGAGAATCTTTCCTGCAGTGTGCTCCCGCTGCAGGATGGGAGCTTCTCACATTCATGATGGTGCTTTGGCTATCTCATCTCAGTCTCCTAGACTGCTAAGCTTCTGCTAAGAAATATGCTTATAGTGTAATGGGGTCCTCTTGTACGTGGCTGCATTCACACCTCTCAGAATTCTCTTTGCCTCTGGCTTTTGACAACTTGATTATAATGAGTCTTGAGTCAGTCTTCTTTGGATCGGTCCTTTTTGGGGTCCTTTGATCATCATGAGTCTGGATATCTACTTTCTCCCATGTTTTAAAAAGCTTTTGGCCATCATTTCTTTATGCGCTCCTCTCTTCCTCACCTTCCTGGGCTAGGACAATGTGTATGTGGGCCTGCTTGCTGCAGTTCCTGGAGAGTGTAGTGTTTTCCTCCCCTGACTGCATGGCTCCAAATGTTTGCTGATTCTTCAACCTGGTGAGGTCTGCTGGGGATGGTTGTAACGAAACATTTCACTTCACTCTTGCTGATCTTCAGCTCCAGAATTCTTTGGTTTGTTTGTTTTATGGCATCTCTCTATTGGACTCCTAATTTTATCTAAGTACTTTTTCCTAATAATATTGAGCTGTGTATATTTTTTGGCTGAGCTTATTAAAAAAAACACTATTTTGAATTATTTGGCAGACAACCTGAAGATCCAAACTTGTCTAATTGGAAGCTCATTGTGTCCTGTGGTGGTACATGTTTTATGTATAGGCACACACATGTGTACTTCCATGTGGGCATGCATCCGTGTGTTCTTGAATGTGTGTGTGTGTGTGTACGAGAGTGCTCGTGTGTGAGTGCATGCAGGTGTATTTGTTATAGCTTTGTGTTGGTATCTACACATTTGAAGGGGCAGGTACTTCTTCCTAGCTGATGGACTGTCTTTGGTATGGTAAAAGCTTTGTCTATGACTCAGCTCAAGGGTACTGGCTAAGTGGGGTGTGGGAAATTCCAGGTTCTTAATGTACAGGGATGCTGCATTCAGGGCATGTGTTCTCAGGGAAGTCAGCAACTCCAGGTTTGGTAGGTGGACACTGGTGGCAATAGGGACACTAGAGAGGCACCCAAGCTGTGGTGCTGACATCTGTCCATCAAGCATGTGCTGGAAAGTCCCAGAAGGGGCAGACAGTAAGAGTTTTGGCTCTAAGGAAGCACAGTAGGGTAGGTTCTGAGCAGCCCTCTCAGCTTGGGGTTAGGATTGGGTTTCAGAGGCAAAAGCTGTGAAGGACCGTGACTGACAGTAGCAAAGATGCTAGGATCCTCAGTGGATCCCAGCACTTCCGATTTCACCCAGGGAAGAAAGTGATGGCCAAGGAGAAACCTCTTGGCACTGAGCTGTTAGACTGCCCTGGGGTTAGGATAAGGCACTCAACGGCTCTCTGTGCTCTGCTTGTGCAGCTTCCTGACTGTACTCCAAGCTCCCCAGGACCTATTTCTTTCCGTGGCCATTGTTTTTGTGGGTAA